TTTTTTTTGAGACCAAGTCTTGCTCTGTTGCCCAGGCTGGAGTGCAGTGGTGCAATCTTGGCTCACTGCAACCTTCGCCTCCCAGGTTCAACTGATTCTCCTGCCTCAGCCTCTCAAGTGGCTGGGAGTACAGGTGCATCCACCACGCCTGGCTAATTTTTGTATTTTCAGTAGAGATGGGGTTTTGCCATGTCAGTCAGGCTGGTTTCAAACTGGCCTCAAGTGATCTACCTACCTCAGCCTCCCAAAGTGCTGGGATTACAGGCATGAGCCACCACGCCCAGCCTACGTTTAAATGAGAAACAAGATGCTTCCCCCGCACTGTGCCCCTCTGCCACTGCCCAAGGAGAAAAGTGTCACAGGCAGGTTTTCCCCCTCACCTCAGAAACTGCTCTTCTGGGCTGGGCATGGTGGCTCACACCTATCATCCCAGCAGCTCAGAGGCTAAGGCAGGAGGATCACTTGAGCCCAGGAGTTCAAGACCAACCTGGGCAACAATAGGGAAATCCTGTCTCTACAAACAATAAAATAGTGAGTTGGGCATGGTGGCATGCACCTGCAGTCACAGCTACTCGGGAGGTTGAGGTAGGAGGATCACTCAAGCCCAGGAGATCGAGACTCCAGTGAGCTGTGATGGCACCACTGCACTCCAGCATGGGTGACAGAGTGAAATTTTGTCTCCCCCATCCCCCGCCCCCAAAAAAAGGGAACTGTTCTTCTGCAAGAAGGGAATGAGGGGTCAGGTGAGGTGGCTCTCACCTGTCATCCCAGCACTTTGGGAAGCCAAGGCAGGTGGATCACCTGAGGTCAGGAGTTCGAGACCAGCCTAGCCAACGTGGCGAAACCCCATGTCTACTAAAAATACAAAAAAGCCAGGAGTCATGGCTTGCACCTGCAATCCCAGCTATTTGGGAGGCTGAGGCAGAATCACTTGAACCTGGGAGGCAGAGGTTGCAGTGAGCCGAGATTGTGCCACTGCACTCCAGCCTGGGCACCAGAGCCGAGACTGTCTCAAAAAAAGAGAGTTTCCCAGAGCCCATCCAGTAGGGCCGCACGGTGATAGCCTTTGTCTCTTGGCTCCTGTCTGGTCACCGGCCATGCCCTTCCCTGACCCTAGCTCCCAGCACATGCAACTGTGACTTTGTGTGGCAGCTGCTGAGTCCTGAGGTGTTTTTAACAACTGTGTTTGATTCCCAGGTTCTTCACCTGCCAACCAGAGGAGAGAGCTGTGGCATTCTCCATCGTTGGGGTGGAAGGGAGCTCCCTAGGGCAGCCGTGGCAGCCGCCTATCTGGAGCAGGGGCTGGAGTGCCCCGGGCCGCGTCTCTGACAAACACCACTGAAATGTGTTTTCACAGGTGCTGTTTTCTGTTTTTCATGTTCATAACAGAGAGGAGGGGAAAGCGTAGCTACTGACAAGTAGAACACTGCTACCTTTTGGAAGGCAGTTTCTTGTTTTTTAGATGGAATTAGTCCTTGGCTTCCCTCCCAGTCCCAGCCCCCCTTCCGGCTGCAAATGTCCCTGGGTCAACACCAGTAGAGATTGCTTTGTGTATTTTCTAGGGTTCTCTGTTTTGAAGAGAGAATTATGTTACAAATGTTTTTGTTGTAAATAAATAAAACACTTCCTTGTCTTTGCAAGATCCAGTATAAGTGAATTGCGCAGACTCAGCTAAGCTTCCAGCCATTTGCCAGCGGGGCTTGGGCTGGGGCTCTGCAGCCAGCGGTTCTGATTCAACTGATAATGAAACGCTGCAAACCAGGCTTGGGGTTCCCCACAACCCGCTCCCGCTGTGGGGAACCCATGCCAGCAACTTAACAGGAAAGTTGAAGCTGCTTCACCTTCCTGCACCCTGACACTCGGGGCTCCCTGCTCCACACAGGCCTCTCTGGGCCGGTTCCAGGGTCCCACGCTCCTCCTGCGGCTGAGGCGGGAGGCACCCCTCCCACCCACCCACCCCCGCCCCGCCTCAGCCTCCGCAGGCACCCACAGCGCCCACACCGCCCTCGGAGCCTTTCCCGGCCCCATGTCCGCTCTCATCGCCCTCCCTGGCCCACCTTCTTCAAGGGTGCCGTCCACACTGGCTTCTCCACTCAGCCAGTGACTCCGTGGCCCGCCGCCGTCCCATCTTGCTGCTGACCTGCTCTGCGCATTGGATCCAGCAGGCATTTCTTTGTCCCAATGGGACTTGACTTTACTCCTCTGAAACTTCCTCCTCCCCAAGACACTGTCTTCCTTGAATTTCCAAGCTTCCAGTTCCGGAATTACCTGGCTCCTCTTTTGGGAAGACTGCCCATTGGTTGAGTGCTGTTCACCATCTGCCTCCCACCGCCCCAAAAACACTTTAGAGCGTTTCAGATGTAATCCAGCAGCGAAGGGCTGGGAATGGGCCGATCCAGGTCGTGCTGGAGGGCTGGGTGTGCTGCCTGGCCTAGGAGGCCCCTGGCCTGTGCCCCACCCTCCAGGGCCTCACCTTCTGACAGTGGGAGCAGGCTGCACTGCCCCTCTTTGTGGAGGAGGAGGGCAGGTGATGCCGCCAGGGGCCCTGGGTGCCAAGAGGCCTTCCCTGGAGGTGCCTGCCCTCCCTCGTGCTCCCTTCAACCTGCATTGCTGGACTGGTGGCTCCAGAAGAGTGGCTTTCTCAGAGGTCACGAGGAACTTGCTGATGTTGCCCGCATCTACACCTCCAGACCTCATGACCATGGTCTGGCTCCTCTGGCGTGAGACATCCATTCATCCCTCCTGACTCAGGAAGGCCCAGACCCCACACACGTTCCGCCTAGCCGCAGCTGAGGCCTGCGTCAGCCACCAGCACGGTCAACTGCCCAGCTGTCTATTTTCAGTCTTCTCTAACATGCCCATACAGCCAGAATGGGCTTTTTGTTTGTGCTGGAGTCCCGCTCTGTCACCCAGGCTGGAGTGCAGTGGTGCGATCTCGGCTCACTGCAGCCTCCACCTCCCGAGTTCAAGCGATTCTCCTGCCACAGCCTCCCAAGTAGCTGGAACTACAGGCACATGACACCGTGCCCAACTAATTTTTTTTTTTTTCTGTATTTTTAGTAGAGATGGGGTTTCCTCATGTTGCCCAGGCTGGTCTCAAACTCCTGGACTCAAGTGATCCTCCTACCTCAGCCTCCCAGAGTGCTGGGGTTACAGGCAGGAGCCACCGCACTCAGACCCCAGAATGGTCTTTCTAAAGGTCTGCCCCGTCATCTCTAAGTGGCGCTGTGGTCACCTTCCTGGACCTCCTCTGCCTCGTTTCTTGCGGCCTGGCTCCCCGTCCGCGCCCAGCCTCCTGCAGCCTGCAGTGGTGGAAGCTGGCTGTCACTGCCGGCCCCCTGTCCAGCCTCCTTTCCAGGTTTTTCCTTGGAAGAGGGTTGTTGGAAGGACTTCAGCGCAGAGTGCCATGAAGAGACGGGGCTTCAGGAAGTCACTCTCTACCTTGAGAATACTGCAAATGGAAGAGTACACTCCACGCAGCGGTTCTGCTTGGAGACTCTGCCCTTCGAAGACATGCACACGTGTGGACTAAAAGGATGTTCATTCATTGCACCATCGCCGATGATGTGGGGAAACTGAGGCAGCTGTGAGGCCTTCAGAGGACCTGGTGGAAGAAACGCCAGCACAGCTACCTGGGGAGGACTCCGTGGCTTTTAAAAACTAAGAGGTCATAATCACAGCCATGTCTCGGCCGAAGGGACGTGCTCCTTGCCCTCTCATTGTCCCCTGCCTCTCTGCACCCTGGCGGGGGGGGCCCACAGCACGTCTGCTACCCAGACAGGTCCTGTGATGAGCACTGGGAGTCACAGCATGTCACATTACCCAGAGAACTCTCCATGCAGGTACCCAAAACCCACGGCACCTTCAAGGGTCGGGACACCTGGCATCCGACAGAGTCTACGCTGGGTCCACGGCTGTGATCTGTGAGCCAGACTGAGTGATCTTTTTAGAGACCACCTCTTCCAAAAGAGCAACAAAATGAGACCTATCCAAGGATACCCATTACACCTTTTTCAATTTGTGTGTGTGTGTGTGATGAAGTCTCACTCTGTGGCCAGGTTGGAGTACAGCGGCGCAATCTTGGCTCACTGCAACCTCCACCTCCCAGGTTCAAGCCATTCTTCTCCCTCAGCCTCCCAAGTAGCTGGAATTACATGCATGCGCCACCACGCCCAGCTAATTTTTGTATTTTTAGTAGAGACAGGGTTTCACCATGTTGGCCAGGCTGGTCTCAAACTTCCGACTTCAGGTGATCCACCCACCCCAGCCTCCCAAAGTGCTTGGATTACAGGTGTGAGCCACCGTGCCCAGCCCCCAATACATCTTTTTCAAATTTAACACACATGTGCATGTAAGTGAGTCTTCAGCGAGCACTTGAGGAAGGTATAGACCCCCGGTACCTGCACTGAGCTGAGTTGTTGACAGCCCCAGCGCTCAGCAAGATGAAGACGCATGGTGTTCACGAGAACGTTTCTTCCAGTCAGTTCTCATGGTAAGTGCTTTACCTGGGACTTTACCTGTTACTTTAACTGTTACCTTTGTTAAATAAAGTTGGTATGTTGCATTTTAAAAGTGATAAGAGGCTGGGTGCATGGTGGCTCATGCCTATAGCTCCAGCACTTTAGGAGGCTCATACCTGTAAGCTCAGCACTTATGGAGGCCGAGGCGGGTGGATCATCTGGTCAGGGGTTCGAGACCAGCCTGGCCAACATGGAAAAACCCCATCTCTACTAAAAATACAAACAATTAGCTGGGCATGGTGGCAGGCGCCTATAATCCCAGCTACTCAGAAGGCTGAGGCATGAGAATCACTTGAACCCAGGAAGCGGAGGCTACAGTGAGCCGAGATCATGCCATTACACTCCAGCCTGGACGACAGAGTGAGACTCTGTCTTAGGAAAAAAACTGATGCAGGTGGAGGATCCCTTGAGGCCAGGAGTTTCAGACCAGCCCGGGCAACACAAGGAGACCCTGTTTCTACCGAAAATATTTTTTAAAGTTTGCTGGACATGGTGGTATGTGCCTGCAGTCCCAGGTACTCAGAGGGGAGGGGGGAATGAGGTGGGAGAATCAATTGAGCCCCAAGAGTTGGAGGCTGCAGTGAGCTGTGATTGCACCCCTGCACTCCAGCCCGAGTGACAGAGCAAGACCCTGTCTCCAAGAAAAACATGGAGACTAGTGTGTATACACAGCACCGGTGGTCACAGGCAGACACACTGTCACTATGGCGAGCACAGCACGCGGAGGGAAAGGAGGTCCTGTGTTTTCTCCTGGGTGCTCTAAACAATTTGAGATGTATCCATGTATTATGAGTGCACTTTAGAAATGAGGACTGCAACCTGGCTGAGCGTGGACTGTGGAGATTGAGCTGGGGAGTGCAGGAGTGCGGTGGGGTCCTGCGTCGGCTTGCCTGTGCTTCTGCTGGAGGCCCGTGCAGGGAGCACCAAGGAGGACAGCAAGCTGGGTGCCCCAGCCCACCACGCAAGGGGCTCGGGGGGATGGTGGTGTGTACTGTCTCTGCCAAGGAGACGCAAGGTCCCTGAAGCACATGGAAACCACCTTCCGCACAGGAGGTCACAGATGAGCTGCTTAAGGCCCTTGGGCGGGCAGGCAGGCAGCACGTGGCACTGAAGTGGCTGCCTGGTGGCATTGATCTTGTCCAACCACATCACAGTTTGTTCTCAGTCAGCCTTTCACCTGAGGTGGATTTCGGGGTTGAGTGCCCCTTTTTTCAGCTCAGATGCAGAGCATGGAGCTCACGACACCCCTCAGTCGTGCACGGCACCACGCCAGTCTGCGACACCCTCATGATTCTCGTCCCAGGTACTCTCCCACGGGCAGCCGTGCCCACATGCTCCATGTACAGCTTCGTATTTGAGAGAGTTCCTGCAAAACGTGTCTGCCGTTGGTGTCATGAAGCCAGGCTCCCGGTGGCCTGCAGGACGGTGTGGTGGAGGAGTCCATTGTCCCAGCAGCATCGGAGACCACTGACGCATCTGCACTTTGCAAGGACAGAGGAAGCTGGCTCGGGTTCCAGAGGCTTCCCAGAGCCCCACCTGCTCCTCAGATCCTGGTGTTGAGGGCTACCTTTCTGGCCTCACTCAGGGCACAGTGGGCTGGGTCCGCCCTGGGGACCTGCCTTGTCACGCCCCACCTTTCCCCCCGCAGTGGAATCTCAAGGATCATTTCAGAAGGAAGGTTGTGAGGCCCTGGGAAGGAAGGTCTTTGCCCCAAGGGCAGGGACAGAGCTGAGATAGCCCCCGGTGTCAGCCTGGAGCCGTGGGCTTTTCCCACTGAGCTCTCAGGTCCTCTCCTCCCCCAACCTGGGTCCTTCTTTTGAAGGGATGATTTGGGCTCAGGCCAGGCTGACCTTTGCAGAGCAGATCCGGCAATAGATGGCGACATAACCCACTCCTTCCTTTCTGGGCGAGCCTCGTGGTCCCAGGGGAAATTCACCGCCCACCTTGGCCCCCTGCCCATGGCCTGAGCCTAGATGCCAGGTAAGCTGCTGAGAAGGGCACTTGGTCTCTCTCTGCCACCTGAATGCTGAACACAGTGCCCAGGAAAGGGCATTGGGGGCTGACACAAAGACCACCCTTGCCCTCCAAGAATAGGAAAGGTGGCAGTCACAGTCACGGTC